CGTCGGCCTCCTCGGTACCCGCTCGTGGTCGCAATCGTCCTCCCTCAAGTCACTGATCACGCTTTCACTGGTCTCAGCGTGGCGCACGGTCTCTGCCACGCTTCCCGACTGGAAGCCACTGCTTCGTTCTGTAGTATTTGCTCAAGACCAGCTCAATCCAGAACTGTCTCTGGCGGATGGCCAGGCCCGTATTCGGGCCACCGTTTCTCCTGTGTTTTCGAAGGGCCTTGGCATCGTCGAATACTGGCGCGAGCTTGCTGACGGCAAACCATCGTACTCTGTCTCACCGCTCGTCTGGCGTGCAGCTCAGCGAGCGGCCGCAGACGAACCGACTGCCGCTGTTCAAGAATCCAGGCGTGCTAGGGTCCAGCGATCCCTCGCTTCGGTCCTCCACTCTTCCCTTTTCCCCGACAAGTTCGCAGAGACCCTAGCACGCCGTCTCTCCTCGGCGCTGCCCGATCTCGCAGTGCCACTGAATATGTCCGACCGCTGGCAGGAATTATCCAGTTACCTCTCGAAGAAGGCCCCAGCCATTCGTTGGGCCGTATATAAGACTCTGGCGGGAGCGTGGTGGACCAGCCACCGCTTCCCCTTCGGACCGCGCCGCGCCTGTCTGCTCGGGTGCGATGCTTGCCCAGATCGTCTCGGCCATTACCTCGCCTGCCCCCGCCTCCTTCACTTCCTCGCGTTACCTCGTTCCTTCCTCTCCTCGGAACCCCTCGTTCGCATCGGCTTAGGGACGCTTGGGCAACGCGCTAACCCTGAGCACGCCATTCCTGAAGTTGCCCGTCGGACAGCGCTTTCATATCACTTCGATAACAAACTGCGTGTCATCACGCACGCCGCGCCACGCGCCGCGCATCTTTACACTACTGGCACTGAGTGCCTCGCCACTGCACTGCACGCGATGAGGCCGTAGCCTGAGACGAACTGGAGCGGGGACGCTTGCCCTCTTCTCGCGTCTTGCCCGCTTCCCCTCGTCTCTTCCTTTCTTGGCGCGGTCGTTCCTCCTCCGTGCCCTCTCGGCGCCGAGTTCTGGGCTCCCGCAGCGAGGCGCCGAGCGAGCCCCGTTCCATTCGCCTCCTTCTGCCTGGCCGCGGGAGCGCGCGCCAGCCGCGCGACCGACCGGCGGCCGACGGCCCCCGTCTCGCGTGCGGTCGCTGCCTTTTTCGTCGTTCTCTTCGCCCGCCTCCTCCCCTTCAGTCGGGCCTGTCCCTCTGCAGGGGGGAAATCCAAAAATAGTAAAAAGATAGTTTGGGTAC